TTGTCCATAGCTTGTCATGATCCACACAATCTAAAGCCTTTGCGTAGTCAATAAAGCACAGGTAAACATTTTTCTGAGAGTCTCTGATTTCAGCCAAGATCCATCGGACATCAGCAACGATATCCCTCGTTCCACAGCCTCTTCTGAATCTGGCCTCAACCTCTGGAAGTTCTCTGTCAATGTATGCTTGCAGCCGTTTCCATATTACCTTTAGTAAAACTTTACTTGCATGGGATATCAAAGAGATTGTCTGATGATTTCTGCATTCCGTTGTGTCACCTCTCATTGGAATGGGCACAAATATGTATCTCTTCCAATTAGTCAGTCAGATAATTGTCTTCTAAATTTCTTGGCATAGGTGAGTGAGTGCCTCCTGTGCCACCTCACTTTCTTGAAAGATTTTAATGTTTATTCCATCAATTCCTGGTGCCTTGTTCTTTGCCAATTCCTTCAATGCACCTTGGACTTCCTCCTTCAGTAATTTCTGTTACGTTGTTATGTGCTGTGGAGTTGGTTCTGACTCACAGCAACCCTGTACAGGATTTACGAGGCTATAAATCTTTACGGGAGCAGAAAGTCTCATCTTTTTCCCATGGAACAGCTGGTAGTTTCGAACTGCTGGGCTCCTTTCAGAAAAGTCAGAGTTCTGAAAACTCTGTGGAGTGCAGTTCTACTCTGCAACACATGGACTTGCCATCATTCTACCCCATAGTAATTGTTTATTTATATTTTAATCTACTCTGCAACAAATGGAATTGGAGACATTGTCAAATTCCCCTGGGGTGGCAATGTGGGACTCCTCAGGGAAGATCATCCTTGATTGAAAATGCTGCATTCAATCACCTCCATTCCATTCTTTTAAATCACCAGGTTCTGATCTGGATTGTTGTTAAGTGCTGTCAAATTTGTTCCAACTTACAGTGACCCCGTATAGGGTTTCTGAGGAGCACCTGGTGAGTTTGAACTGCCGACTTTCTGGTTCAAATTGACCTTTTAGTCCAGTGCTTATCCTATAGGTAATGTCTGGTCTAGAGGAGCATGATTATGTCACACTGTTAAAAGAGAATACATAATTATAGCTAAAGTCTATCATTTTGAACAATTTCATTTATACTAAACTTATTTTCATTACTCTAACAAAACACTGGAGCAAATTATAAAGCAGTGTGTATGTGCAGGACAGAAAAAAAGGTAGAAGGAGCTGGATTTATTGGAGGTGGTTGAACAATATTGTGGCTGAATTGTTTATTTTTATTTGGCAGGAGCCTTTGTGCTTCTAGACTTTTGTTGGTCAGATAAGTCTCTCAGCTCCATGACCAGGTGCCCAAGGAGAGCTCTCATATCCTGCATTTGTTTGAGAAGAATGTCCATCTTATGATGCATGTGGGGGTCTGGCACCACCAGAGGAGAGGATGAGCATGGGTCTTCAGAAGAAGGGGTGGTCAGAGGAGGCAGAGGTCCTGGGGGCTCCCTAGAATCAGTTTCTGAAGCAGTTGGCTTCTGAGGAGCTGAAGTTAAGATGGGGGGTGCAGCACTGCAGAGTTCTGGATTATGGAGCAGAAAACATGTAAAGAATGAAATCTGGCTCTTGCCTCACTCCCATCTCCCTGATCGTCTTCTTATCCTCTGAAAGTGGCTGGGGTCCCAGAAGCAGAAGAGACTTGAGGATTCAAGTCTCGTTATCCAAATCTGAATCTGAAGTTAAGCTTTCTCTGTTTAAACATCTCCAGTGAAGAGACCTCATCATTAGACAGCTATAATTCTTAGCCAAATCCTCCTCTACCAAGGCAGAATCTAGTTCACTGCAGCATGGGTATGTAATTGATCCTGGGTCAGTCTCTTTGTCATAAATGGCATTAGTTAAATTCCTGAGAATTCCAACCTTCTGATGTTTGAGGATACCTGGCCACTTGAGTCACCCCCTTTAAAGGACAAAAATCTCTAGTGCTTTCCATTATTGTTTATGTGGCATGGCTTTAAGCCCCCTCACCACTCTGGACATTTCCTCTAGGTATATTTCAGGTCAAGTGTGGCACTGTGGGTTAATGCACTGGATTGCAATGTTGGTTTGAACCATGAGGTTGGCAATTCAAGTTCACCAGCCACCCCTTGGGAACCCTATACAGGGTCGCTATGAGTTGGAACCAACTCTACAGCATTTAACAACAGCAACAACATAGTCTTCTTAATGGTGGATCCTAGAACTGAGCACATACTCCAGACTCTCATCCTTGTTCTAGGTAGTATTTTTCTAAGTGTCCAGAGAGTAGTTTGGACACAAAAGGTCTGGGGGCAGTAACTATAGAGCTGGTTTAGGTCTTGGCTTGGTAAAGTCTGAGGTGCAAGTTCTCTATTTGTTCTTTCTTCTATCTCGAGGGACTCTGGCTTATTGTTTATGCCTCCTTTGCTTCTCTTCTTAGGCTGCTCACACTAACCCCAGTTACGGACCCAATAACCCTACCTCCCTTTACACACACACACACACATACCAGATACAAACACACACTTACCCTGTACCCTGATCTCCAGCCGAAGGCTCTGTTTCCACACTTGGTTGTCCTCAGTGGCTGCTTCACACCAGTAGGATCCAGAGTGCTCCTCTGAAGCTGTGGTGATCTGGAATTCTGAGGAGACGTCTCTGTTGCGCACTATTCTAGCATCCTTATAGAAGGAGAAGAGGAGACGTGTGGCTGACCTCTGCAGAGTCAGTTTTGTCTGACAACTCAGCGTTACCAGGCTCCCCTCTTGGGGCTCAGCTGAAGGTGTGGCTCTGAGGACTGGAGTTGGAAACAACTCTGGGGTGAGAGAGATGAGAAAGCATTGCTCAGCCAGCCAACATTCAGGTGAACCCATGAATAGGCAAAGAAGTCCAGCAACACTTTCCTTTCCTTATTTCCTTCAGCAATAGGCTTCCCTAGAGAAGTTCCATTTGAACCTTTCACATTTTCGTTGTTCAAATAGACAGTAGTTTTTTTTTTAAATCCAGAAATGGTAAAATCTGAGAATGATCCAGATATCCAATCAGCAAGCAATGAGAAGCATAGGTCTGGGCAATAGGAAACATGCTAGATTTAGGCTGATGCAGGCTGATAACTTTAAAAGACAATGCTGAGGTTCAGTTCCTCCCAAAGCCCAACTTGGGTATTTGATTAGTTTTCCAAGTCTGAAATACTATCAACACAAAATAATACATTTGCCTCGCAGTTTATAAGTTGCAAAGCACTTCATGGACATTACAGTATTTAATATTCTCCAACATCTGCAATGGAGTCTGCTCTGGTAGTTCATTTCACAGAAGACAAAAAGTAACACAAAGAAGTTTCGCAAATAGCCTACAGTTGCTTTTCTAAGTGGAAGTGCTTGGACACACAGTTGAGTCTCCTGAATCCTAGATCAATGCGGCATAGTCTATTTAGTTGAGGATTTTGAAACATTTAAACTATTAACCTGTTGCTTAAATCTTCAGTGATGTAAGGCCAAAGAGGGACAATCTTGTTTCTCCCCACCCACCTCCTCTACAATGATGATGGCTTTAGCTCTCACCTTGGACTATGATGGCCACAGAAGATGCTGTTTGTGGACTCCCAGGACCAGGACTCCTGAAGTTGCCACTGCAGTGGTAGTGTCCGCTGTCTGCCTTTCGTGCCACAGCTATGGAGAATTCTTTGTTAGGTCCAGGAGGACCCAGAGCTAAGCTGTCTCTGTAGAATGTGACCTGGGATAATGGCCAATCTTGCCAGGCCCAGCAGCGCAGAATCAGTGAATCCCCTTCAAACACAGGCCTGGATGGACCTTGGAGAATTAGCCAGTCTGTGACCAAGGACAAGAGCTGAGTGTTATCTACTATCTCCCTTGGGAATTCCCCAGGGCTACCCACAAATAAACCCCCTTAGACCTTCTCTGAGGTTCCAGGTAACTCTGATTCCTGATTAGGAGTGTTGGACAACTTCTATAGTGCCTTAGGTCTAAGGGCACCCTAGCTACTGTGAGCTGAAGACAGAAGAGAAAGTTTCTCTTGTCCTGGCCAGTTTCCTGGGGACACATTCCTAAGTGGGCCGTGGGGCTGAAAAGAGAGGTTTGGGAATGGGAGAAAGAGTAGGTCTGCCCTGGTCAGTTCTGCCCAGGACCTCACCATAGGAAACGATCAGATGAAAGGGTTCACTGAATGTGTAACCCATGTACTGGAAGGCCTCTTCCTTTGGGCTAGCCAAGTCATCATAGGTGTGGCAGCTACTTTCCTGGGTGCCGACAGGTCCAGGGTTTGTGGATTCTTCACATGGCATCTTCTCCAGACTGGCAGCTGAAAGGGGCAAAGCTCAGGGGGTGGAGCAGAAAGAAAATGATTCTGGGATTTGGAGAAAAAAAGACAAGGATTCACCCTCCCAGATATTTCCTTCCTGGGGGAATCATCATTTTTAGAGTGAGTCAAAACCCAAGTCAAACCTATTGCCACTGAATTGATTCTGACTCACTATGATCCTGTAGGACAGAATAGAATTGTGTCTTGGAATTTCCAAAACCATAACCCTTTACAGGAGCCGATAGCCTCATCTTTCTGTCACAAAGCAGCTGATGTATTGAAACTTCCAAATCTGAGGTTAGCAGCCCGATGCTTAACCCATATACACAAAGAGTGAGAGCAGTAAGATCCAAAATCTTTTTTTCAAAAGAGCATATGGATCTCACAGACAGAGGAATTTGATTTTGGCTCCTTGGCATCCTAGTGCTCTCAGTGGTCTGGGGCAAAGGAGCTGGAGCAGAAAATGGAAAGTGGCGTGGCATGACATCCAACAACTGGGGTCAAAGATAAGGGTGACCCATAACAGGCAGACATGGGGCAGGAAGGAAACATTTATTGGGTGTTTACCATGTGCCAAACACTGCTAGACACCTCTACATATTATCTTATTTAATCTTCACAAACTATCTAGGCATGTGATTTCCTCCTTATTTTATAGAGCTTAAAGAAACAGGTTTATCCATATTCTCTCTTTCCCAAAACTGACATGGCTATTTTATTCATCCTTGAAAATCTTTTCTCCCATATAACTTTTAGCAACTGAGACACTCCTTCTTGTTTGCTTTCTTGTCTGTTCTTCATTTTATACCTTGATGTCGTTTGCTTCTTGAACTTTTCTTGGCAACAGCAGAGTTTTTTCTATGTCCTCCTCTCAATCTTAACCTCCTAGTCCTAATATGTACTGGTCTCTGTGGAAATATTCTTTACCTTCAGGTTGAAACTCAGATTTAGGAGTTTCATTCCCTTCAAAGTCCATGGTTGACCCAGTCAAGGAAAGTGGTATTTCCCCCATTTCCTTGTCCTCCTTAATCCCTTTCTCTCTCTTCTAGTCCCATGGCCTCTTGACATGTGCACATTTCTTCATTCTGTCTGTTTCTACCCTTTATTATCTTCCACCAACCCCATCCCCCATGACTTCAAACACTGCTTTGACCTAACTTCCTTTATTAAGGTCTGTCTCTACTTTCTAACTCTTAATTAATCCGGACCAGCTGCTTTCTTTAGATCCTCTTTTGGCTCGCTTCACTACACTGCTTCCTCTTTTTCATTTTTCCACTATCACTATCTGGACTCAATCTCCTAACATTTTTTTTTTTTAATTAAATGTTTTTATTGTGGATTGAGTGAAAGTTTACAGGGCACATCATCAGCTTCACATTCAACCATTCATATAGCTTGTTTCATTACATTGATTATTATCCCCTCCATATATCATCAGTTAACAGTGTTTCTCTCTATCCTCTTTAGCTTTTCTCCTATCATTTTTAAAAATAAAATCTTGTTGAACTATTTCTACATACCAGGAACATTCACTCAATAAATCTCGGGTGCCAAGTATTCACAGTCTCGTTTTTAAAAATGAGAAAACTAAACCCCTGAGATATGTTTGACCTCCTGTATGCTAGGAATCCTGGTGTAGTGCTCTAGGAGAGCCATAGGACTGCTAACCACAAGGCCACTGATTCAAACTCTCCAGCAGCTCCTCGGAAACACTTTATAGGGTCGCTATGAGTCAAAACTGACTTGGTGACACTTAACAACAACAACAATGCTCTACTAAGGAGTCCTGGTGTGGCACTTAGAATAAGCACTAGGATAAGCACTGTACTGCTAACCGCAAGGTAGGTGGTTCAACCCCACAGCCGCTCCTTGGAAACCCTACACAGGGTTGTTATGAGTTAATAGCACTTAAGAACAACATGTTCTACTATGGGGAGTGCAATAGCTCTGTAGGGTAGGCACTGGACTGTGAACCTTGAGGTTAGTTTTTCGAGCCAGCTGTTCCATGGGAGAAAGATGAGACTTTCTGTTACCACAAAGATTTACAACCTCGTAAACCCCATGGATCATTATGGGTCTGAGCCAACTTGCCAGCACTTAACAACAACAACATCCCAAAGTGTCATAAAACTAGTAAGGGTTTAAAATCAGAGAATCTGACTCCAAATCTGGAGTTCTTACTCAGAACTGAGATGAGTTCTCCATAAGGCCTATGATTCCCCTTGCTTGTTGTCAAGTGCCATCTAGTCACTTTGACTCATAGCAACTCTGAATGGGGTTTCCAAGGAGCAGCTAGTGGATTTGAACCACTGACCTTGCAGTTAGAAATCCAGTACTCATCCTATGCACCACTCCAGGACTCCACAATACCACCATAGTCACATAGTCTTGTTTCTATCAGTTCAAAAAGACAGTTCAGCAAAATTATTAGTCAGAGACAGGTCCCAAGAGTTCAAATATGAATAAGAAGCTTAAAAGCCAACCAAAACCAAAGCATCCTCTTGCCCACAAATAAAAGTTTAGTGGAAGACATAGGCATATCAAAATATGATTCTATTATGAGGATGAAAATATTAAGAAGTAAAGATTACAGGCATCATTTGAGCTATGGTTTTGCAGAAGAATATTAAAGCTACCACAGACTGCTGGAAGAACAAACAAATCTGTGTTGGAAGAAGTACAGTCAGAATGATCCTTAGAAGCTAGGATGGAGAGACTTTATCTCTCATACTTTGGACATATTATCGGGGGGAACCAGTCTCTGGAGAAGGACATCATACTTGATAAAGTGGAGGGTCAGCAAAAAAGAGGAAGACCCTCAATGAGATGGATTGGCACAGTGGCAGCAGCAGTGAGCTAGAAGCTTAACCGTGATTGTGAGGGTGACACATGACTGGACTGTGTTTCATTGTCTGTTGTGTATAAGGTCACTATGAGTCAGAATTGACTTGACAGCACCTAACAACAACAATGGGAACAGAAAAAAAGATTCAAGTAAGACTTCCTGGTGACAATGTCACCTAAGTTGTCTTTAAGGATGCCTAGAGATTTCTAAAAGGGAAGGGAATCGTGGCCCTTATGGAGAACTCATTTCAGGCAGAGTTAGCAGTATGAGAAAAGCCTTAGAGACAAATACAAGTCTGGTGTATGGATGTGTAAGTATAAACGACTTGATATTTATTACAGCATAAATTTTAAGGCTCATAAGTGGGAGTAGAAGCTGAAGGGGTTAAATAGGAGCCAGGTCATGGTGGCCCATGTGTACCATGATAAGGAAGTTGGGTTGGGAGATTTGAATTTTCTAAATCATTCTGGTTGCATAATGGAGAATTGATTTCAAGAGTGCAAAACTGAGACAGTGAGATTAGTTATGAAGTTACTGTACTAGCCCAAGTCTGAGATGACAAGCGCTTTTTCTAGGATAGTATTAGTAATTATCAGGGGAGGGAAACTTTGTCAAACTTGATGAAGTCTCAGATGTAGAGGATGAGAGGGAGAAGTCTAGGTTGTTTCTTAGGTTTCTGTTCTGAATGTCTGGTGGATACAGGTGCCACAAACTGAGATCAGAAACAATACAAGATGAATTAGAAGAGGTGAGGGCCAGGAGGACAGAGGAGCTCAATTCTGATCATATTGTGATGAGGTGGTTGGGAAACATACCGGTAGATATGTCTTGGGGAAGCTTAATATTTTAATGTAAAGGTCAAAAGCATAGCTAGGGTTGGAGATATGATTTGGGACTCTTAACTATATAGTTATTATATCATAACTGTACCATAACTATACAGTCATGGTGGTGGTATGCTGTGGAGTTGATTCGGACTCATAGTGACCCTGCATAGGATTTCTGAGGCTGTAAATCTTTATGGGAGCAGAAAGCCTCATCTTTCTCCAGTGGAATGACTGGTAGTTTCAAACTGATGACTTTGTTGAGGTTAGCAGCCCAACTCATAACCACTAAGCTACCAGAGTTCCTTATATAGGAAAAATATATATACAAATAGGTTCACTAGGGAAATGGTATGAAGAAAGATGGGAAGCGAAGCAAAGATATAGCTGTAGAGAATACCAATATTTAAGGGTAAGAGAAAATAAGCACCTAAGTGACCAAGAGAGGAACACGCAGTACAAGGAGAAAATGGTTCCAGGGAAGCTGGAGAGCAGAGAAAGCCAAGATAGAATTAAATAATCATCATTGCCCAATGAAACAGAGAAGTCCAGGATGATAAGAACTAATAATCTAGTCAATGTGGAAGTCACTGCATCCTAGGCAAAACGGATTCCAGTGAAAGTTGGATTGTAATCACGGAGAAGTGAGTGAGAAGGGAGGAATGGAGTTAGCACATGCTCATTACTCCTTCAAAATTATTTCTAAGTAAAGAAGAATTGGGATGGTAACATCACAGTGTGTATCATAGAGGGGACTTTTAGATGGAAAAAGCTGGAAGATTTTTATAGTAATAAAGAGCCATCCCAACACTACCCTTAGTACTCTTTTGGAGGGTCAAATTAGTTCATATTTCTTTCCATTGAATCATTTCCCCAAAGCTAGGCCTAACTCCATTCGCACGCCAACATTCAAACATTTTACTTACCCAGCAACATTGGGGATGCCCAGAACACAGCAAGGAACAGGTAGAGAGTCCAGACTGCAAAAACACAGTCTAATTTCATGGTGACTGTGTTTGAGTCTACTGTAATTTTCAATGCACTGATTATTTTCTTTAACATGAAACCTCTCAAATTAGAAAAAAAGGAAGTAAGTCCAACTGGTTCATCTCTTTACATTTGAGGCCTGTTTTGAAATTTGCAATGGCTTTCTGCATTCAGATGTGGCCAGTTTGGTGCCAGTGTCATCTGTATCCTTAGGTTGTGGATAAAATTATAACAAACTAAATTGTTCAAGAATTCCTTTCCAGAGCTTAGAGACTTTTCAAAGTTTATAACTGTTTGATGTCAAAAGGTCAATGCAACAACCCTTCTTTTCACTGGTGGAGCAATTGAGGGCAGGAGGTGGGCAATTGTTTGACTGTTTAAATCACAGAGCAGAGCGATGGTGAGAACTCGATTGTCCTGCCTAAACCTTATGTGTTTCTAATGAGCAAAATGCAACAAAATAGAGGGGGGAAAATCTTGGTAATGGCACCAAGTCTGATATCAGATGAGTTCCTTGTAGGTTTCAACCTAATGTCTACACTAATTTGGACACAAATCTTCCCAGACTTGTATCCCAGCTCCATGTTTCTGCAGTATAATTAAGAATGTTCAGTCAGAGGAAACCTGAGTATGAGGGAAAGTCTCCTGGGAAAAAAACAGAGTGGGATGGGGGAGAGAATCTATTTTCAGAGAACCAAGCAGTAAGCCCAAGACTCAGGTTCATGGCCAAAGCTCAAGCCACTGATCCTGAGGAAATTAGACACAGAAGACATGTGATAGCTTGAGAAACTTGAAGAGACTCAAGAATAGGAGCAATATGGAGGCTGAGAATCTCTCTTTAGCTCTAGTTGGCTTTATAGGAACTTCTGTCTTTGCTTCCAAATGCTTGTTTGTTAGATTAAGACCTCCTCAATGGCAGGTTACATGCCTATTTTCACAGTGGCTATACCTCTTTTTCTTTCCCATCATAACATCCACCAGGTCTCCAATTGGCTGTTTGGAGATGGCAAAGAATGGCACAGACAGGCGCTGTTAGAAGTCAAGGAAGGCAGACCTGCTTGAAGACAGAAGGAGGAACAACATAACTCTTCAACTGTGCAGAAACCACAGAGCAGACACATCAGTAACGTGGGCACGAGGGATTGGACAATTCTCAATCTAAAATAAGCATTTGGAATCAAGTTTTCATGATCTGAGAAGCATATGTTTTTTGTGCAGTTGGCCCTAGGGAATTGAGGAGGGGTTGAATATGGGTGTGGAGGGAAAGCAGTGAGGCAGTAAACCATGCAGTTGGCATGATGTGAAAGGGTTAGCAGTCTCAGAAAAGTTAAAGAAGTCTACACAAGACTTAATCAAAATTAAGTAGTTGACATGTATTTAAATTAACCACACCTACAACACTTCTTAAGACAAAAAATCTCAGAGTTAGACAGGTCTTTAAGGGTCTTCCAAATAAAAAATCTTTTCTTTTTCAAACTGTCCCTTCTCCTTATCTGCCCTTACATAGTACCCTTCCTGAATAGAGTTCTTTCTCTATACCATTTGCATCAACCCACACAGAATCCCACTCTCAATATGAAAAGCAAGAAAGGCTCTGAAGATCTGGGGTGAAACTATCACATTTTATTACATTTAAATCTCCACTAAACCTCTGGGGAAATTTACTAGTTGAGGCCCAATTAATGAATGGTTTAGAATAGGTGTAATTATGGGGAAGAAGTAACATTGGGTCTCTTTGTGCTTGTGGAGACTGAGATTCAGGACATGGAGTCAGTTGCTACATCAGGATGACTCTAGAATACTCTCAGAAGTATCAAGTCCCTGCCCTTCTCCCAAGATCAATAAGATCTTTGATGCCATCATCAGTTGCTCTTGGATTGTTGCTATTTTTTTTTATTTTTAAATTGAGTTGGTAAAAGTAATATATATCTATTAGATGTGAATATACAATGAGTAATGCTGAAATGCATACTCTTGAACCCTGTTTAAGAAATAAAATATTACCATTATCCTTGAAATACTGTGTACCCATCAAAGTCAACCACAACCTTGATCTTGTATTTATAACACCCTTTATTTTATAGTTTAAATAATTTTTCATAAAAAAAATTTTTATTAATAAAATTATACTGTGTTTATCCTTCTGAAACTTCTATTTATTTATTTTTTAAACTCAGGTTCCTCCTGATGTTTTGTGTTATTGTATACTATGGAGTCGTTTTCAATTCATAGCAACTTCATAATCATTTTCCAACAGAGTAAAACCGCCCCACAGTGTTTCCTCAGCTGCAATCTTTATGAAAGTGGATTGTCAGAACTTTCCCCCCAGTGTGGATTAGACTGGGTGGATTAGAACCACAACCCTTTCTGTTAGCAGCAGTGCACTTAACCATTTGCACCACCAGAGTTCTTGATATTCTTTGTGTTGTTGTTGTTAAGTGCTGTCAGGTCACTTCCAACTCATAAAGACCCTGTATAGGGTTTCCAAGGAGTGGCTTGTGAGTTTGAATAGCCTACTACCATGAATATTGTACTATGCCACTTCAGTACCCTGATGCCGTGTATAGCTATGATTAATTAAATATTCCATCATATAGTTATGCTATACGTCATTCTATTGACAATGGACATGTGAATTAAGTCAGATTTTTGCTATTAAAACTGCGTGTCTAGACTTGTACATGACTGGTAAGTACAAGAGTAAAATTTTCTTATTGACTTAAGAGGATTTTTCATGTATTCTAGATATAAACTCGTTGTCAATTATATGCGTTACAAATGCCTTTTAATGTGTGATTTGTCTTTTTATCTTCTATGCTTTAAAAAATAGCTTTATTGAGATATAATGATGTACATTAAATGCAAATACATCAAGTTGTATAATCTATGAGTTTTGACTAAGTATCCACCAGTGGAACGATCGCCACAAACAAGATAATGAATATATTCATCATTCCTGAAAACTTCCTTGTGTCCCTTTGTAATCTCTCCCTCCATAGCTACCTAGCTCAGGCAACCACTATCTGTTTCATGTCATTATAGTATGTCATTGCTGTTGTTGTTAGGAGACATCGAGATGGTTCCTCATAGTGACTTCATGTACAACACATCAAAATACTGACCTGTCCTGGTCAATCCTCACAATCATTCCTATGTTTGAACTCATTGTTGCAGCCACTGTGTTGATCCAGCTCAGTAAGTGTCTTCCTGGTTTTGCTGATTCCCCACTTTACAAAGCATGATGTCCTTCTTTCTCTAGAGGTTATCTCTTCTGATAACATATCCAAAGTGCATGAGATGAAGTCTCACCACACCACTTCTAAGGAGTATTTTGGTTGTTTCAATTGTATTTTCTAAAATTTTATATAAATGGTCTGATTTGTTTTACTCATCATACTTATTTCCAATTTCACCTATGTTGTGTCTATCATTAGTTTGTTCTGTTTTTTTCTTGTATAGGCTTTCTAAGGAGTGACTGGTGGGTTTGGACAGCAAACCTTGTGATTGGATTATTCCAATTTTTAATGGATAATTGCAACAATTTCTTCTCATTTTGAGAAGAATGTATGTGGAATGTACAAAGTATGAATCTAGGAACATTGGAAATAAGCAAAAATGAAATGAAATGCATAAAGATTGATATCCTAGGTTTTAGTGAGCTGAAATAGAATGGGATTGGCCATTTTTAATCAGACAGTCATGTGGTTTACTACATTGGGAGTAACAAATTCAAGAGGAATGGTAAAATATTTATTGTCAAAAAGAGCATTTAAAGATCTGTCTTGAAGTACAATACTGTCTGTGATAAGATAATATCCATACACCTACAAGGAAGACTAATATTCAAATTTATACACCAATCACTAAATCCGAAGATGATGATTGAAGAATTCTATCAACTTCTTTAGTCTGAAATTGATCAAATATACAATCAAGATGCATTGATAATTATTGGTGACTGGAATGTGAAAACTGGAAATAAAGAGGAAGGATTAGTAGTTGGAAAATATGGCCTTGGTGATAGAAATGATCCTGGAGATCACATTATAGAATTTTGCAAAACTTATTCATTAAAAATATCTTTTGTTTCAGCAACAGAAACAGCAATTATATACCTGAACCTCACCAGACAGAATACACAGGAATCAAGTTGACTACTTATGGTGGAAGAGGTAATGTAGAAGCTTGGTATCATCAGTCAAAACAAGGCTAAGGGCTGACTGTAGAACAGACCATCAATTGCTTATATGCAAGTTCAGGCTGCCATTGAAGAAAATGAAAACAACTCCATGAGAGTCAAAATATGACCTTGCGCATATTGCACCAGAATTTAGAGACCATCTCAATAACAGATTTGATGCATTAAACACAAATGACCAGAGGAGTTGTGGGATGTTATCAAGAATATCATACAGGAAGAAAACAAAAGGTCATTCAAAAGACAAGAAAGAAAGAAAAAACAAAAATGGATATCAGAAGAAACCCTAAAACTTGCTCTAGAATGTAGAGAAGCTAAAGCAACTAGAAGAAAAGATGAAGCAAAAGAATGAAACAGAAAATTTCAAAGGGTAGCTCCAGAAGACAAAGTATCATAATGAAATGTACAAAGACCTGGAATTAGAAAACCAAAAGGAAAGAACATGTTTAGCATTTCTCAAGCTGAAAGAACTGAAGAAAAATTCAAATTCCAACATGAAATATTAAAGGATTCTATGGACAAAAGGTTGAATGATGCACCAAGTATTAAAAGGTGGCAGGAACAAACAAGGTGGCGGATCGGGTGGGCGTATAGCAGAGAGCTCCACCAACAACAACACAGAATACCCAACCAAGCAGGCTCAGGGGATGGTCCCAGAACTCTGAACCACATATAAAGGTGCCAGGGTTTTCCCTCGACATAGTTGTCACGA